TTTGTTTAACCTAATGTCCTTTTCTGTTCAGGATACTACTGAACAGAAATATAATATAACAACATCATGTTATATTAGTTGTCAGGTCTCTTTAGGCTTCTCTTGACTGAGACAGTTTCTCAGACTTTGTTGTTGATGATCTTGACAATTTTGGAGAGTGCTGGTCAGGTATATTACAGGGTGTCCTGCTAGTGGAATTGTCTGGTTGTTTTCCTCCATAATTTGTCTGGGTTTAATGGGTTTTGGAAGAAAAAAGCACAGAAGTACAGTCCCATTTTCATCAGATCATTTCATGATTCATCACTGACGTCAGGCCTCATGGTGGCTTGATGCCTGTAGTTAAGCATCCAATCTTTACCAAAAGCAGAGTAGTTTTCCACAGAGGATGGTGGGGCTTATTTCACTGAGAGAGAAGTCTCCTGAAATTCTGAAGATTTTCCACACTCTGACAAGTAAATATATTACCAAAAATTCCAGAGTGGTTGCTACTTTCTGCTTACCAGGACTAATCAGCATATCAATGTAACAGACTAATGTGAGGTTCTTTCTAAAGGGAAGGTGAATGAGGCTGCTATGAGCTAAATTAAGGACCCAGAGTTGTGGGCCTGGGGCTGGGTTGTAGCTAGCGGTAGAGTGCTCACCTAGCACATGTGAGACCCTGGGTTCAATCCTCTGCACCACATAAAAATAAATAAAATAAAGGGTTTAAAAAACAAAACAACAACAAACCCTGGCTATGTTCCAGGTAGCCATGAACTGGGGGAAGTGTCACTCTTCAACCCACTACAAAATCATACTCTTGGGCTGGTGTTGTGGCTCAGCATTAGAGTGCTCGCCTTGCATGTGTGAGGCGCTAGGTTCAATCCTCAGCATCACATAAAAGTAAATAAATAAAATAAAGGTATTGTGCCCAACTACAACTAAAAACAAAACAACAAACAACAATAACAAAATCACTCTTAAAATCTGAAAGAAATATGTGTAGCATATATATAGACATAGTACTTTTATTTTTACGTGGCGCTGAGGGTTGAACCCAGTGCCTCACGTGTGCTAGGTAAGTGCTCTACCATTGAGCCACAACCCCAGCCCAGTTTTTTGCATTCTTGCCGGTTGGAAGTTCATTCCTTCTGGTTGTTTTTTCCAACAGGTATTGAGGGAAAAAACATCTAACAGATAAATAGCTGCATACTCAGTACCAGGAGATGTATTGATTTGTTCTAGCAATAAAATCACGTTTTCAATAAAGTAGTGCACCTGTAGCAATGAGATTGAAATATGAGATTCCAGTGTCATTTTTCCAGGACTTATGTTCCAAATAGACAAGCTGTAAAGGAATGTGGCATCATCATCTCTTCAAGTCTTTGACAATCCAAGAATGTGATATTGTTTTTGGTTTACATATCACCCAATAAGAATTTATAGTGCTGGTATATTTTTTTTCTAGGGACACAATAATCTATTAGCCAATGACCTCACTCATCCATCTCTATGAGTAAGATGACACTGTTTTGGCTCTGCAGGCCATTACAGTAACCAAGCCTACTTTTTGGCAACTAAGTGCCACTCCTTGGTTGCTCCCACTCTGGGACCCCATTATCCCTACCACATTTAGGAATCCCAGTTTGATGGCTACAGTGGCAAATGCAAGATATCATTACAGAGAAAAGTAATCTTAGATATTTTCAAGGATTCTGGGGCTTCCTGAACAAATTTATTTCTCAAAATCAAGGGGAAGTAGGTCCTACATAATAACCAAACACACCCCACCTCCCTAAGCCTTTGGATACTTTCATGTAGTCTTCCTAGGCAGTTCTGGCACTTCTACTTTGTCGTGAAGGCACTTCTGGATGGATGGAAGTCATATGAACAATGGGGTTTTCATGCAGATCCTTTTCACAGTGGGCCCAGTGGGTCCCCAAGCCCATCCCATGGTTATTTTCCCAGTTTGTCAAGCATAATAGGAGAAGACACACTCAGCATATAAATACACTGTTAACACTTTTTCTAACCCTTTGAGATGAAACCTCAAACCYGGAATCTCTGCTTGGTGGATCCACATAAATTAACTTGGACTAATACAATTTTATTCCCTTTCTACCTTGAGCCTTACATGTTTCCTGGGGTTGCCACAAAAAAGTACAACAAACTGGGTGGCTGACACAACAGAAATTTATTCTCCCACAGTTTGAGGCTGGAAGTCTAAAATCATATTATTAGGAGGTCCAAGCTTCTTCAGAAGGCTCTTTGGAATAAACCTTCCTTGCCTCTTAGCTTCTAGTGGTTCCCAGCATTCCTTGACTTATAGCTGCATCACTCTATTTTCTGCTCCCTTCTCTACGTGGTCTTAATTCCTTCATTCTGTCTACATCATATGACTATGAGGCCTCTAAGGACACTAGTCATTAGATTTAGGGCCCATTCTAATCGAGTTTGACCTTAAGTACATCTGCAAAGATCTTATTTCCAAGGAAAATCACATTGTGAGGTTCCAGATAGCCATGAATGGGGGGGGGGAGGTGTCACTTTTCAACCCAATACAAAATCACACCCTTAAAATTTGAAAGAAATATGTGTAACATTCTTTTATATGTTCTGAATTTTCTAGCATGCATATTTGTCACTTTTTCAAGTAAAAGTAAAGGAGAAACAACACCCCAGAGTTCTCTGCCCCAAAATGCAAATATTCTTTCCATATAATTTTATCCTGTGCCCAACATCTCCCTAAAGTTGTCTCCCAGTCTTGATCGTCTCTGATGATGTCAGGATCAAACTCCTTAATTAACGTAACATGGCTTTTCATGATTTGGTCTTCAGCATCCTTCTTCCTGTTTCATAGTCCAATAAAATTCCCTGCGACTACYGTTCCGCCCCAGCCTCCGGCAGGTGTCTGAGCTGCCTCTGCCACACCATCCCTCCATGCTCTGGTACTGAGTTGTTGGAATGCCCATGACGGCTACTCTGTTTCTATACTACCTCTCCAGAGATGAAACACTTCACATTTTCACTTCATCTCTGAAATCTGACCTTTSCTTTTGTTCTTCTTAAATGAAAATTTCCATATGAAAGAACATAACCCAAGAACACATAGTGCTACCCTTGAGCAACCGTGTCCAGATGAACCAGTTCTCCCTCCCCGGAACCAGCCAGCCACCAGCCTGCCCCCACAGCTCAGGCCAAAGCCCGCGGGAGGCCAGGGCGAGCCGCAGCACCTCCCGGTCAGCCCGCAGCTCTGGTCCAGATTCTTCCTCTTCACCCATCACAGGTGCCTCCCTTTTGGACCTAGTGCTCGCAGYCACCGGGAAAATGAACAGCAGCGACTGCACCGTTCGGGGTCAGAGCATGCGCAGCGGACCAGCGGGGCTGCAGCTCAGCTCTCGAATGCGCACGCGCAGAGGCCGCTTCCCCCAGGACGCCCCGCCTCCGGCCGCGCCCCTTCACTAGGGGTCAAAGGTCGCGGGGCGGGCCGCCGTGACGCGCGCGGAAGCAAGTCGGGACCTTCGGGAGCGGCCGGTAGTGCAGCGGTGGCGGCTGCGGCGGTGGCTGCCACGGTGGGGCGCCCCGGCAGCTGGGGCTCGGGATCGCTCCGAGCGGCTGAACCCCGTCCGCACCGCCTCCTCCTCCGTCGCTGCGGACGGCCGCATGAGTCGAGGGACCATGCCCCAGCCCGGAGCGTGGTCGGGCGCGAGCTGCGGCGAGACGCCGGCGCGGGAGGGCGGGAAGGCGGCGGCCGGCGGGCAGCCCCGGCCCGCGATGCGGTGCCCGGCCGAGCCGTGAGTGCGCGGGGCGAGGGCCGGGCGGCGGCGGGCCGGGTCCCCTGCGGAGGGCTGGTCTGGTCTCCTTCGGCGTCCTCACCGAGGAGGACACTCAGCCGGTGTCCGAGGACAGCCGTTTCCCGAGGGCCCTTCTCACAACCCTGGGCACCATCGTSTCCCTCCCCGCGCCCGGCCGTGGCATCTGCTCGTCTCTAAAGTTGAGGAAACTCCAGAAATTTGGGGAAACGACCCCAAGAAGCGTCTTATTACCAATTTCCCGTAGCCCTTTCCTCCAGCCCGGCGTGGGGAGGAAGTAAGGTCGCCCCTGTCCCAGCCACAGGAAGACGGCAGCGCGACACGTTTGCTCTTGGGAGGCAAGTCGCCGCTTGTCCCACTTGTTGGACAGCCTTTGGACGCAGTCTGACCCCTTGTCGTCTTACCCTGAACGGCCTGACTAGTTCTCCCGTCCCTTAAAACAACGCAAGTCAGTGTGGGTCGGAGCAGTTCCCTACCCAACTGTGAGAAAAATGGCAGGGGTATGAGCTTGAGGCGCACTTTCTACACTGTAGAGAAGAAGGCCCATTTAAATGCCTTTGAACTTCTGAAATTGACGAACGCACAGACAACCAATTTGATAGATATTTTTTAATTGGCTGGGAAATTAAATTGTAAAGCATGTTTAAATGCACCTTTAGAGCTCCTGTCTTAATCGCCTACAGAGGGGTTCTTTAGAAGCCTGCTATGTAGATAATGGTATTATAGTAACTCATTTGCATAGTGTTTTACAACTGTGCTTTGGAGTATCTTGTTGAGCACTCAAGTGTGACGGTAATTATTCATTTAATGGGTTAATGGTCACTGGGAAAGATTTAGGGCAAGGGGTCTCAAACTCTAGAAGTAGGCAAGTAACTTAAGTTAGTACAATTGGCCAGGAGTTGTTCTTGGGGACCTGGATAGCTTATGTCTGCTTTGGGGGCTCCAGCCCATATAGTGTTAGATCTTCTGTATCTGAAGAATCCAGATATATTGGCTTTTGCATGAAATATCCTCATTTTTAAAAGGAGGCACTTTCTGTTTTTTCCTTTTAAATTTCAAACCACTGTAGAGACCCTTGTGGTGAGTTGATGTGGTCTGTAATTATAAGTATTCTGTTTGGGATAAAGTCCTACTCTAGACCCTGCAGAGGCTTAAGTAGGGGCTCTCTCACCTCTGCCCCTTGCCTTGGTAAGTGCTGCTGTTGCAGCAGCTGCCCACCACTAGGCTACCACCACCCTGCTTTCACTTTCTGGCTTCTCTGGGGACCCGCTCCCCCCTCCCCTCACCCACCCTTTGATGCCTTGCCTCTCAGGTGTTGTACCTCTCAGTCTTCAACTGAGCAGTGTCACACTCCCTTAGAGATGCAGAAACTTGAAACCAGACTCCTGTTTCCAAAAGTACCCATAGTTATTTGGCAGGTTTTCTGATGGATGTGGTTCTCAGAGTTAGCACCTGGGGAAATGGGCCACAGTGGGAAGGAGCTCTTCTCTGAGGAAAAGGTTAGGACACAGATGCCCTTTTCAYTTCTCAGTAGACTTAAAGCTGAAAGGAATAATAATAATAAAAAAAACCTAACATAGGTTTGTCATTATACACATTAATAAGCAGTTATAGACTCCTTAGGTGCAGCTTGGCATTGTCAGGGCCATGGATCCCTGATGCTTTGGCAGGCATCTACCCCACCTCTTCCTGACTTCCTTAGCAAAACCAGGCAGAGGTAAATAATTATAATGACAGCAAGCTTCAGCCCCCATTCCCCCAGAATAGATGTTCTGGTTTGTGTTTTCATTAGCATCTTAATATCTTTTTTTCTCTTTGCTTTTTGTTGCCTTTTATTATCTCATTCCCGTTTAACTCATCAATGGGAGAAATAGGGAGGTGAGTATAACTTTCAGATGTCAACTTTTGAACATCTTAAGTTTTGGACTTTCTAYACTGTTTCATCTTTCTGAATCAGCAGTATGTAAATTCCTACTTGATTAGTAGTTCCAGTGTAAACTTAGGTAGGCCCTTTTAAAATCTTTTTGGTCATTGGAACCAAGCCTTTTCTTTCCACTCAGATAAGTCAAAGTGTTTGCACTGGGAACTATTAAATATAATAAACTTGCAAATGTTTTGAAATATTCCATGGAGTCATTTTTAGCATATTTAGTGAAAAGTAGTTATGAATACAATTCATGACCCACCATCTACAGCTGATTTATATATTTAGGATATGACTCTTTGGAGGGTGTGAGGGATGGCTCATTTCCTAGCAGCATAGKTGACTTTTCCAATAAGCTCACTGCATTTCACAAGGGTGAGAGGTGGGCATGTAAACCACACGAATAAGCTGCTTTCTAAATGTCATTGCAGTTTTTCTTTTTCTTTTTTCCTTTTTGAAAATTGACTCATTTGAGAGCTGATGGTTGGCATCTCCTGGACAACCCCCAAGATGGCTCAGAGGGTACTTTAGGGTTCCATTTGAAGAGGTCTTCAACAGTCCCTTAGACCATTAATGGACTTTCTGGAAGTTCCTGCTGCTCTCATTAGCCAGGTCTCTGTTCTTTTTTCTGCTTATCCCACCACCAACATTTGACTCTTGTGTCTGCCTCTTGCTCTTAACTCAGCTAAGCCACACTRTGGTTCTTGAGAACATGGTTGATATCCAGACCAGAAATGTTTAGGGACTTGAGAACAGAGACTACTCCATGTCCCTTCTTATGTTCTGTGAGGGCGGGACAGGGTTCGAATCAGGGATTCATGGGCTGGCTATGTTGAGAAGCATACTGTCTGTGAAGCCCTAAGAAATTGAAGGCAAAATTTGTGAATGTTTCTGGCCCAAGGTTTCAGTTAAAACTAGWTTCTTAAAGGAACTGTGAGCTCTGCTTCCCCACCACCAAGCATTAAATTGTTGGTCTGTTTTCTTCTTTCACCTTGTGTGGGTGGAATGAGGTAAGTGTGGTAGGGTAACAACTATCACCTCTCACTCCCTCCACCTAATGAAGAGTCTGCTTTAGGGATCAGAGCTAGGATGCCTCTAAGAATCAAAACTCATTGTTGAGGGTGGCTGCTTTGTCCTCATATGCCTCTGGAAGTCACACAGTACAGCTTGAGCCTATCATGGGAAGTCCACTTGCAGAAGAGGGGTGGAATTTTGACCTGGGTGCTGGTACTTCCCTGCATTTTCTGCAACCACTAAGTGGTGGAGAAAGGTTGGTTTAAGTGGTCTTTGCTTCTCCTGTGCCTGTGTGRGAAGGTATGTCACATTGGTTGGCTATGTTTCATTACCTGACCCTTTAGTCTAGGACAGGCCAAGTTAATGCAGGACTGGAATTCAGAGGGCTGAAAAAGCTAAACTCAATTCTTTTAGATAACCAAGGCATCTTGGTGCAAAGGTTCATACTGGTGAGTGTTTAGGATGCTTTGTGTAGACTTTAGAGTTGTTTTTCATGTTACATGTTTACTTGAATCAAATTGAAAAATTGGCTTCACAGGATTGTCTTTTGCTTCACTGAGCTCTGCTTTTAATTTGCAGGTTTTCTTGGAAATAGTATAATTTTGTCTTTATAATAGTGAGCATTATAAAATAAGTCTTCAAAAGTTTGTGTGGTGGTCTTTGAACAGAGCAAGAGCAGTTATAATTTAGTATGCATTGCCATGTAGCTTACTCAATTTGGTATATTGCCTTAATAGTAAGAATAAGATATTTAGCTTACTAGAAAATTTGCAAATTCTGTTTAATGGGAACTTTAAAAAATATAATGTCATGATGCTATACTCAGAATTTTCTAACTAGGAATTATTAGCATTTGGTTTTAAAATTTAATCTAACAATATAATTGTGACTTGCAAGCCAGGAAATTGGGTCATCTAAGACTTTTATCTTACTTTCCTCTACCACTTTTCCAACTATGTTTTCTAAAAGAAAACTTTTTGTTGTGGTGATCATCTGAATCTTTAGGCTTCATTGGCCTCTCTTCTGCCATGGTGGATACCTCCCCACCCCCCCACCCCAATACTTATGAAAAAAAAAAAACTGCCAGATTTCTGAAACTGTTCAGCATTTATGAATTCATCTTGTTGTATCCCTTTTCCTTTTATCGCTGTCTTTCCTTCCTATAACACAAATTCAAACTAAACCTCTATTTCAGATTTCCAGTTTTAAATATTATAATTTTATTTTGTAATTATTTTCAGCTTTACTATTTTGATACTTAAACTAAAGCAGAAGTTTGAATTAAGTATTTTTAAAATTAATTTTATCTTCCATTCTTGTTAGYCTTATATTAGATGGATAATTACTTCATTATGGCTGTTGAGTTCCTTTCTGTTGATTGGATTTTATTACTTGAATTTAAAAGTTATCCTTTTTTGCTGGACATGATAGGGCACACCTGTAATCCCAGTGGCTTGGGAGCCTGAGGCAGGAAGATCACAAGTTCAAAGCCAGCCTCAGCAATTTAGTGAGGCCCTAAGCAACTTAGTGAAACCCTGAATCAAAATAAAACATGAAAAGGGCTGGGGATGTGATTCAGTGGTTAGGCATCCCTGGATTCAATCCCTGATACCAAAAACAACAATAACAAAAAAACTTATTCTTTCTCCAAGGAGATAAAACTTGGGGATAATTTTTTAAAGATCATATTACAMTTTCCATACTGTTTGGTGACCAAGGAAGTTAGCTATATTCTTACACAGGATCTGAGTTAAATCCAGTTGTGGCTAAAATAATTTGCATATACTCTGGGCCTTGTTTTCATCAGTTTTTGATTTGCTTCTTTTGAATTCTGTGTCCCCAATCACTGCTTTTTGTTTCCAAAAAATCTCCCTTTCTGTTCTGTCTTCTCTTTGCATTTAGTTATCCTGTTCTGTTTCCTTTCATTTTCTTCCTGTTGGCCTTTGTAGGAATTGTTGGGGTGCACAGTAAGGTGCTTGTTTAGAAAATCTCCTTTGGGCACTGATGTTGTGATTGCATTTTTTGTTATTTTGTAGATTAAAAAGGAGGAGGACCAAAGCGGAGCCAGATGTGCGTGCAGATTAGCCACAGAACTTGTTTGAAGTCTGTAGAAGGAAGACCTAGAAGAGGAATCGTGTTGATTTTATAGCTCTCCTCTAGTCTTTCATTTTGAAGATGAGAAAACTAGGGCAAGATTGGGGAAGTGCCTTCCCCTAAGACATATTTCTGATAATGATATTTAGAAAGTGATTCACTTAAATGATTCTTCCAGAGGATCAGAGTTTCTCTTTTATCAGAGTTTCTCTGATACAACTAGCAAGGAGGCAGAAAAATGTTAAATATTCAAGAAAAGAATGAACACGTTTGGTCATTTTTTTGTTTTAGATCTTGTGAATCAGGTTTCTGTTTGCTTTTAACTCTGGCATAGGCTCTGGGAGTGATGTTACATTTTTCTCTTGAAATCTCACTTGAGTCAGAATACAAGGAAAGTACCCTTTCCATAATATTTGTTCCTTCACCCTCAAAACCTTAAACAACACACACACACACATTTATTTGGAGAGGAAAAAAATGGAATAAAAAATGATCATTGGGCAAATTGCTTATTAATATTCTGCATCAGTGAATGTATGAGAATTAATAAGAATAGCTAACTGTTTTGAGTACTAATTATTTTACATGTTTTCACTCCTCACAACAGTCCTTTGAAGTGGATTCTCTTACTGTCCTTTTTTATAGGAGGTTAAACTTGGACACTAAGAGGTGAAGTTACCCCAGTAATCACTGTACATACAGATGGAGTGAAGGGCGATTAAACTTGTGGCAGTCTGATTCCTAGGTCCTCACTCCATCCATTGCTCTCTGCAGAAGGCTGACATGGCTAAGAGGCAGGTCAGGAGTATGAACTGTTCAAGAAGAGAGAACCCCTGGAGCAGATCATAGGTTTAAAAGTGCAGGGTGCAGGCTGCAGGCTGAGGTTGTGGCTCAGTGGCAGAGTGCTTGCCTAGATTGTCTGAGGCACTGGGTTTGCTTCTCAGCACCACATGCAAATAAATAAAAAATAAAGGATCATCAACAGCTATTAAAAAAAAAGTGCAGGGTGGTGTTGGTCAAATGTTTGGAGTGAAGGGAGCGTAGTGCCTAGTGGGGTAATGGAGTCCAGGCTAGAATAGAGTGGAGGATGAAGTGCAAATTTTGACATTGTCCCCCCAGTGTTTGAGAACCATTGAATGATTTCAGCAGAGGCAGGTTAGACTCCCACTTCTGTCCACCTCTCCTAGCATCTCTTCTGTGCCTCTTTTCCCCTCAGTTGTACTAGGTGGTTGGGGCATCTTAGTCATTCATTTACATTTTTTAGCCTGCTCTGGCCTCCTTCCTGCCTTTCATTGTGCCTGGAGTGCCGCCTGCCACTGGCTTGTGTGGGGATGGCATGTGCTAAGGTTGTGAGGAAGTTGGGGGTCTGAGTGTTCCTTATGTGGGTGTCAGCCAGTCTCCTTGTTTTTAGCTTAGTGTGTTCTCCATACCCTCAGAAGGACTTTAGGGACTCCAGTTTCAGAGTTTTTCTGGGGTTCTGTCCTGTTTACTAGCTTGCTTTCCACAGATATCCCTCCACCAGCCTTGGGCTTCCTTTCCAGGGTCATTTACCAATCTGCTTTTCAACACTTTGGGCTTTCACATGTCTTTTGCTTTCAGCAAAGATGGAGTTGGTGTTTCTATATCCTTTGTCATTTTGGGTGTTCAGCTGAGAATCTTGAGGGAGATAGTGGACATCAAACCAGGGGTCTTCATTTTTTCTATTATGTTCATTTTTTCTAGTACCTAGTGGAATTATGTCCCTTTCTAGTACTTAGTAGATTCTTTTAGTTTATCAGAGAGACTAGAGACACTTCAGGAAGCTGTTATGTGAGTAAAAAGTCCATAGTAGTAGTAGTAAAGTGAAAGCATGTGGAACACTACAGAACATAGGTGGCTGGTTGAATATGGGAGTTAGGGAGCAGGAGGAACCTCAAGGGGGATTGTTAGCTTTGAAGACTTGTAATTGATGTTCTCCTATCACTAGTTTTAGAGTAGCTATTGTTATATTTGCTTGTGACATGTTACAAAGGTTGGTAATTCGCCTGCATGCTTATATTAGCACTCTTCCCATCCTAAGAACTTGAGAGAATCATTTTGAAAGCTTCACTGATAAGATGCATGCTAAGATGCCTAGATGTACATCTGAGACATTAATAGACATTAATTGAAATGGCCTTAGGACCATGTTGCTGGTGAGTGATGTACATTATAAGAAATTCTGAAGTAGAAGACAGTGGTGAGATAGAAACATCTATGATATAGAACATCTAAGAAACATCTAAGATATAGAACCCATATTTGATCAGATTGCTACTATGTAATGTGAGAAGAGTTAAGCTTTTAGTGTCCCATGCATTTTGTAAGCAGCTGTAGGTTGTGATACATCAGAATACATCAGTGCAACAAGTGTTTTGAAAATGTCTACTTTGGTGTGATTTCAGCGAGGAGGACATGTACCGTGCTGCAGATGAAATAGAGAAGGAGAAAGAATTGCTTATACATGAAAGAGGGGCATCAGGTATGTTTGGAATTGTTTTATTTATTAGAGTCCTTACTGTTTATACTGGAACATGCAGTTAAATTGGTATAGCCATGTTCATAAAATCTGGACATGCACTTCCTAGGAAGTATTCTTACAAGTACGGTCTTACGTACACTAATTATTGTTGAGGTATATATGTTTAGGGAAGACTGTTTCCTGAGGTTTCAAAATTTCAATGCACGTATTCTCTCTGCATTCTTTACATTCATGTCATTTTTTTGTTCCTGTAGAGGATTATTTTAATCTCCTGAAACTACCTTCTCTTTTTTATTTCATTACATTCCTAGGAGAGTTTGACTTTGAAATGGATTTTTCATTTCTAGTTGAAGCTAGCTGTGCACATCTTTGCATGCAGATGGCCATGTAATCTGTCAGGCCTGCTCTTTTTACCTTCACTAGGGCCCTTTCCAAGGGAGAGATGCTCCTCCTAGCCCCTTTCACTGGTCCATGGAGACTTGGCCTGCAGGGCTGTAAGTGAAGTAGATCCTGTGCCAGCAGGCCTCATACAGAAGCCAAGTGGGGATACTCCTCAGATAATTCACAAGTGGCATTTTCTCTTTCATTACCTGTGCAGTTCAGGTGTTCTATTGGTTTGTTTTGAGAACTGGCTTCTGCTTATTTTATGGTTAACAAAGCATTATCATTGTAATTAGGAACGCATGATACACAGTAGGGTTATTTTAAAATTGTTGCATTATAATTATCCATAATGGGATTTGATGTTACAAATTTGTACATGCACTCAATATAATTTGGTCATATGGTTCCCTAGTATCTCTTTTTTCCCTCTCTTTCTCCTCTTCCCTGGTTCTTTTCCCTACTATACTGGTTTCCCTTCTGTTTTCATGAGAACCCCACCCCCTTTTTCCTATTTGTTTCTCTCTAGCTTCCAAATATGAGAGAAAACATGGATTCTTGACTTTCTGAGTTTGGCTTAGTTTGGTCTCAAGTTTGCATTTTCCTGAAAATGACATCATTTCATTCTTCTTTATGGCTGAGTAAAATTCCATTGTGTATATATACCACATTTTCTTTATTCATTCATCTGTTAATGGACACCTAAGATGGTTCCATAGTTTGCCTATTGTGAATTGTGCGTCTATAAACATGAGTATACATGTATCGCTCTAGTATGCTGATTTCCATTTTTTTTTTTTTTTAAGGATAAATATCAAGGAGTGGTATAGCTGAGTCATGGTGGTTTCATGATTCCAGTCCTAGTCTTTTGAGAACCTCCATGCTGATTTCCATGGTGGCTGTACTTATTTATAATCTTACCAATAATATAAAAGTGTTCCTTTTCCATTACATTCTCCCCAGCACTTATTGCTTGTATTATTTGTGTGTGTGTGTTTGTGTTTTGTGGTGCTGGGGATTGAATCCAGGGGTCCTGTACCTCTGAGCTACATTTTTCCCTTTTTAAAAATTATATATTTAGGACAGGGTTTTGCTAAGTTGCTGAGGTTGGCCTCTAATTTGCATCCTTATCCCTCAGCCCCCCTAGTCACTGGGACTGTGCCTATCTGTTATTTGTGTTCTTTGTGACTACAATTCTAACTGGAAAGAGATGATATGTCAGTGTACTTTTGATTTGCATTTTCCTAATGGCTAAAGGTGTTGAACATTTTTTCATGTATTTGTTGACTGTTTCTTCTTTTAAGAAGTATGTAGTTAGTTAATTTGCCCACCTATTGATTGGATTTTTTTTAAATGATGCTGTTTGAGTTCTTTATATATTCTGGATAAAATCCTCAGAAAAATAGCTGGCAAAGACCTTCTCACATTCTGTAGGTTCTCTGTTGACTTTTTTTTTTTTTAACATTTTTTTTGGTTGTTAATAGACCTTCATTTTATTTATTTATATGTGGGCAGAGAATTGAACCCAGTGCCTCACACATGCCAGGCGAATGGGCTACCACTGAGCCCCAGCCCTTCCGTTGATACTCTTAATTGTTCCTTTTACTGTGCAGAAGCTTTAATTTGATGCCATCCCATATATTAATTCTTGGTATTATTTTCTGAGCTTTAGAAGTTTTATTGAGGAAGTCATTGCCTGTACCTGTTTGTTGTAGTGTTGACCCTGCATTTTCTTCTAGCAGTTGCATAGTTTCTGTTCTAATTAGGCATTTGACCCATTTTGAGTTGACTTTTGTGCAGGGTGAGAGATGGGGATCACGTCTCATTCTTCTATATGTGGATAACCAATTTTCCCAGCATCATTTGTTAAAAAGGCTGTCTTTTTTACGGACGTATGCTTTTGGTGCCTTTGTCAAGCATTCTGTAACTCTATCTGKGTGGGTTTGTCTCTGTGTCTTCTATTCTGTACCATTGGTCTGTATATCTGTTTTTAATGTCAGTATCATGCAGTTTCTGTTACTATAGCTCTGTAGTATAATTTGAATTTGGGGATTGTGATGCCTTCAGCAATTTTTTTTTTCTCTTAGAATTGCTTTGGCTGTTTGGGGTCTTTTATTCTTCCAAATGAATTTTAGAACTGTTTTTTATAGTTCAGTGAAGAACATCATTGGTATTTTGATGGGGATTGCACTGAATCTAAATATTGCTTTTGGTAATATGACCATTTAAATAGTATTTATTCTGCCTATCCATGAACATGGGAGGTTTTCCCATCTCCCAGTGTTTTCTTCACTTTCTTTCTATAGAGTTCTATAATTTTTATTGTAGAGATATTTTACCTCTTTGGTTAGATTTATTTTTAAGTATTTCATTTTGTTTTGAGTCTGTACACAGTAGGGTTTTTGATAATTTCTGAGTCTTCCTCCTAAGAAGTTGGTGACTCTTCCCTGTAGTCAAAGGAGATGTTTTTTGAAGTGGTCCTGGCTTGTTCTYGGTACTCATAAGACTTCAGAGGATGGATGCAGAGTCCTTTTAGCCATATTTTTAAGGAAGATGCATATTCAGCTAGTGTTTTCTCTTCCCCTTTCCAGGTTCTTTCTGTTATTGTTCTCCACACAGTCATTCAAGCTTTTTAGTGGGTCTTGTAACTTCCAGCTTTAGTCTGGGAGTAAAATGGATCCCTTTATACTCCTTGCATCTCAGTTCTTCGGAGTTCATTGCTCTTCCTGAAATAACATCCTTCTGTAGTGCTTCCTCTCTTGAAGCAAAGCCCAGACTGAGCCAGAAAGTTTTCTTATCCTCTCCTTTTCTTGTTGAAAACTCTTCACCTGGTATAGGGTTCAGCAAATTGTGGCTCACAGCTCAAACCTGACCTGCTATATGGTTTTTATCTTATYTTATTTTTTTTACCATCTGGTTTTATAATGAAATTTTATTGAAAGTTTTTAGTGAACCTATTGCTTTTGTGTCTTTCATGCATGGTGAAGTTGTGTTGTACTGACAGAGACCTTATGACCCTTAAAGCCTGGGTTACTTCCTTTCTGACCCATTCCAGAAAAACTTGGATATTCCTGTCCTAGTTCATGCTAAGAGTCCCAGCTGCTTGGAGGGTTTCAGTATTAATTTCTTACCTTCTGAGTGTCTGAGTCTTATATTCGTCACTCATTTGGTAGTTGAGGAGCACACTTGCCACTCTGGTTTTCAGCTTTCCTTATTTTTATTTGTTGCCATTAGAAATGTTCTTTCCTAGAAACAACAATCATAGTCTGTACAGTTTGCAGGTAAAGAAGGGGAGTATGGTACTTAGTGAGCTGCTTGAGGTCTGGCACTGCCTTGTCCTTACCTCCAGCTCCTGGCCTAGTACATGGCATGAAGCAGCAGTTGGAGTCTCTCCCCCCCACACACATACACCAGAGAACAATAGCCAAATGGGAATTCAGGTAACATTTTGGTGCTGCCAACTGTGCAGGTACCCCATTTTCCCAAACCTCACTCCCCATGAAGTCCTGTATTGACATCAGATTGCTTGGTCTGCTCGCTTCAGTCCTGAGGTAGGCTCTGCCCCACTTGCCCAGAGGGACAAGTCTTGTCTTTGTGTGGGATTGAGGACAGCAATAGGGAGAGCAGGAAGGGAGACTGCCTAGGAGTGTGCACTCTGTTCAGGCTAATAACCCTGCCAGGCGGGAGCATAAGGCCTAGAAAGTATCCCGGCTCTACATTTATAGTTCTTGTTTTTTGGGAAGGTGAGTGGAAAGACAGATGCATGAATTTAAAAGATGAAGCGTCTTTGCTAAGGATTGACTGTGCAGCACTGGTGTTGGTTGTCTACGGATATTATAACTAAGGGGTCTGTTTCACTTTTGAGCTAATCCTGGCATGTGCCACAGTTAACCATATCTGTTTATGTGAATAAATATAATTTCCCTTTTTATGTAAAATCATTTTCTTTATAGAAGGATTCACAATGAGATTTTAAAAATAGACARTTTTTAAAGTTTACTTAAAAAAAATTGTTTTACTTAAACTGTAGGGGGGATGCTCCTTGATCATGTTGGCACCATCACACTCTGGCTTGTAAATGCCTGTGGTCTTTTCTTCTTCAGTAGTTTATAAGTCTGTTCAGGGTAGAACCTCTGTCTTTATTGCCTTTATATAGATAGTTCCTAGCTTGGTGCTTGGCACATGCTAGACACCTAGTGAATTGAGTTGAATGAAACAATGTTAATTTTTATGTAAAACTTCCTCAGGAGTAAATATGTTTTGAGGTACTTGTGGGTTTATGTCCTAAAATCATCATTAATATCTTCAATGACTTAAAAAGGAAGTCAAGATGTACCTGAGAATTCCCCTCATTTTCTTCCTGAAAAATACATGTTAACATATGCATACTCATACACCACAAACTCAAACCCCAAACCTTTTATGTTAAGGAAAATCTAAAGACTTTTTTTTTAAACCTTTAACATTTGTATGATCATGAATTATATTTTTAATTTTGGGGAATGTGTATTTAGTCAAATGAGGTCTATGAATCAACTAATGGTTAGAGTTCCATTGTCTGGTTTATTGTCAAAAAATAATAGCCTTTTGGGATCAGGGCAGGGTATAAATAAATACAGATAATTAAGTGATATTTTTGTTGTAGTATGTTATCTTTTTGCATAATGGATATAAAAAACTGAATCAGGGCTGTGGCTCAGTGGTAGAGCACTTGCCTCACGTGAGTGAGGCACTGGGTTTGATCCTCAGCACCACATAAAAATAAACAAAGATATTGTGTTCATCTACAACTAAAAAAATATTTTAAAAAAGATGGAATCAAGGGCTGGGGTTGTGGCTCAGTGGTAGAGCACTTGCCTAGCAAGGCCCTGGGTTCGATCCTCAGCACCACATAAAAATAAACAAATAATTTTTTAAAAGAACCTTAAAAAATGGAATCAGTAAAATTATTTTTTTATAGTTCAGACTGTTGTCTTTGATTAGAAAAGTATTCACAGACCCCTGTGGGTCAGTGCAGTTTCAGGTGCTGAGGACACAGCTGGGAAGCAAAACAAAGCCCCTGCCCTCAAGGAGCTCATGTTTTACTGTGGATAGGTGTATGTGGGGACATAGAAAAAGAAATATGTCAGGTGTTAATATTTCTAAGAAGAAAACCAAAATGATTTTAGAGAATATAGAGCAAAGGGCTGTGATATTCTGATACAGGGCATCAGGTAACCCTGGATGCCTGCATAGAAAGGAGTGGGCAGCCCTGAGGGATAGGGCACAGCTTTCTGGAAGAGTATTAGGGGAGGTTGTAGGGTGAGGCAGGAGCAGAGTCAGTTGGGGAGTGGAGGAAGCTGAGGCCAGAAAGGCAGTCAGGAGGGTGACTCCTTACTTAAGTGAGGAGTGAGATGGGGCCCCTGGAGCTCTCTGAGCTCGAGTGAGGTCATCTCCCCGTAAGTGGAGAGTGGTCCAGAGTTGTGGTGACAAGGGAGAACCATTGAGAGACCTCCATGGCTAACTAGGGGTGAGGTGATGGTGGTCTGGACTAGGTGGGTAGGCACTGGTAGAATTCTGGATTTTGAAAATGAAGTGAGAAAGTGAGCAAGGAAGAGTGACCCCCAAGTAATTCAGTATTTGAATTATGCTTTGGTTTGCTTTTTTTTTTCTTTTTGATTTTTTTTAACAGAACCCAGATTAAGTGTGGCTCCTGAAATGGATATCATGGACTACTGCAAAAAAGAATGGAGGGGAAATACACAGAAAGCAACCTGTATGAAAAAGGTACAGCAGAGGTGCCCATATTTCAGGTCTTTTAAATAGTCTCTCATAAATTATGTCATTTTATATTTTTAGACATTCATTAAGACAACTGCTATTAGACTTGGTAAATACTGGTGTTCTAATTTTAGAAATGAGGAACCAGACTCCATGGATAGCGCCTTGTTTGGAGTCACAATATTATTATAGAACATGYATCATTTATTCAGTAACTTAATTTCTTTGAAAAACTCTTAAATGACTGTGTTACTCAGATTTGGGTGAGTTTTAGGGCCATTTGAGAATGCCCTTATTAGCCTGGTGTTGTAAAAGCCTTAAGGATAAGGGCAGGCTAATTCCATACCCTTTGGGTCTGGTAAGATGCTCTCTAATCCTAGGGGCCTAGAAACCTCTTGTATACCTTGAAATAGAGGCATTTGGAGTAGTTTCCTTCATTAGTGTTTCCCAGGAGCTGCCTCTTCTTAGTTCCGTGCATAAACTGGCAACCCTAATGTATTCTTCAAGACTATGGGGCTGATCTTGGGGACTCTAACATTCTTTATTAGGTCAAACCATGTGGAATTATTACTACTATTTGACTATGAGCTACAAAAACAGCAGTGTCAGCCAGGTGCCTTGGTGCATGCTTGTAATTCCATCGGTTCAGGAGGCTGAGGTAGGAGGATTGTTGCCTCAGCAACAGCAAGGTACTAAGCAACTCAATGAGACCCTGTCTCTAAATAAAATATAAAAATAGGGCTGGCAATGTGGCTCAGTGATTGAGTGCCCGAGTTCAATCTCTAGTACCACCTAAAATTGGGATTTAGATGTCCACCTAAAATTGGGATTGTTTACATTATAAATTCAAATGTACTTCTTGTGTATTAGGGATATGGATCTGTCTTATTTGATAGAAATGTCTTAATTTTTTTGTTCAGAACTTCCTTGTTTAGAATTTAAATTTTTAAGCATATGAATACATTAATTCTTTTCCTTATAGCTTGTTTTTCTAGAAATATTGCTCATCTTTAAGTATGCCCCCTGTTGCTTAGGGGCTTTTAGTCAAATGTGGCTGCCACTTGTAAACCTCTGAGAGCAAATGGTGAGCCCTGCTTCTTTCAAGTCTGGTACAGACTCTGGTGTTTTAGATACTTATTAGTGTCCTCAATCACAAAATATTCAGGGCTCTCAATTCATGCCCAGGTTAAAAATATGTATACTTGGGGGCTATTTGCCCTGTACCAGACTAGATAACCAAAAAACTAGATATCTAAACTATATTTTCTCATCTTTCCCAGAAATGCTTTCTCTAGACTTGTAATTTTATTTTGTGACTTCAGTCTCTCCATAGGGTCTCTTTAAATAGTTATCATCTTAAAGTCCATTATTAAAGATGTTCGAGTTACCCAAATATTCCATATTTTGGAACTTGTACTAAAATTATTTCTCTATGGAATTAATTMTAGGGAAAGAAAAGATTTGATTTCTGACCTCGTTTGAGGAACATCTCATCAGGACTTGTGGCTTAATTAGAGCATGGTAACTAGGGTGCCTGGCAATACTTTGGTCTCAATTTTATTTTAGTTCTTATTTGCTTAATTGTCTAACTTTTCGTTTGGATACTCTTGGACATAAATGTGTATAAATCTAAATTTAATTTTAAAAGTTTGATTCTTCTCCTAAATACTGCGATTTTCTATGCTTTTGGGAAGATACGGTTGCAATTGCATCTGCCATGGTAAATATTTCTGGGATAATTAAGGTTCTGTCAGAGGGAACTGGTGCATATTGGTATATATGAGTCAGCCTGATRATTTTTATATGTTGTACTGGTTGAATCACTAAGTACAAATGCAACTTTCAAATTTTCATTGTTGGAAAGAAGTCCTTTAATTTTCACGTAGAATGGCATCCTAAAACACAAACTTTGAAAACAACTACTAGAAAGGTTCTAGTTCTTAGCACCCAAAATGAGCGATCTGCATTATGCCTGCTCCAGTGTGATACCTCTTTCTTTGTGTAAATGCAGGGTAGCAAGTAGAGTTTCAAGTGACTGTCAAGAACAGGACAAGTGAAGGGGCTGACTGGACTTGGGGTCAGCAGAGTCAGTCCTGGTGATAACAGTGTTCAGCTGAAGAAATCAGGACCTCATGTAAGCCTATGGACCCAGTCGCCAGGACTTTTTTGAAATATGCTTCAAAATGGTTTATTTGGATGGCTGTTTTTGAGTGCCCAAGCATGGCACTGAACATTTTCATTTCCTTGTTTTATTTTCAGACGGAGCAAGAGTGACTTCAGTTTACTTGGAAAAAAAAAAAAAGGTCTCGGGCTGGGGTTGTAGCTCAGTGGTAGAGCACTTGCCTTGTATGTGTGAGGCACTGGGTTCGATCCTCAGCACCACATACAAATAAATAATAAAATAAAGATATTGTGTCCAGAATAAAAAAGGTCTATCAGATTATTCAGACATTTCCTAGCATGTAGATTTTTACACACACATTCATACACAGTCATGCACCCCATAACAATGTATTGATCAACAACAGACCACATATATAATTATGATCCTGCAGGACTATAAAAGAGAAGAAATTAATATGAAGGAAAAATTCACCTCACCCATTGATGTACCTATTGTATATGGCGATACACTGCATTACTCAGATGTTTCGTGATGCTGGTATCAACTAACCTAGTGTACTGCCAGCCATATGAAAGTATTACACATACATTTGGGTATACTACAAAATACTTGATAATGGTAATATGTGACAGTTACTGTTTGACATATTTATTTTATTATTTTTTGCTATACTTTTGATCATTAGAGTGTTTACCATAAAACAGTTTGCCATGTTATGATAAAAGCAGCCTCATATTTTTCATGTTTACTGACTCTACATTGCCTCATTTCCTCCTGTGCTTAATTTAATCTCATCATGGCTTTTAAGCATACAGAATCCACTGCTAATGTTGCCAGTAAGAGGCCGTATAGCCTAGATGTGTAGTGGGCTATATTGTCTAGGTTTGTGCAAGTATATGATGCCTGCATAGGGATAAAGTTGCCTAGTGGTGCATTTCTCAGAACATCTTCCCATCATTAAGTGATAGTAATAAGAAGGAATTTTAATGTCTCACAAAGGATTTAGCCAGTCTTGTTTTCATTTTTCCAGTGATCTGGAATAGGATAATTTTTTTCCCCACAGGAATGGAACTCTTCATGCTCTCTGAAGCCAGTGACCACCATTTAAAATTCTTTGATACTTTCTTCCAGGGCTATGAGGAGGTTTCTCAGAAATTCACCTCCATAAGGCGAGTCCGTGGCGATAATTACTGTGCACTGAGGGCCACACTGTTCCAGGCAATGAGCCAGCTGGCTGCGCTTCCCCTCTGGCTGCAGGATCCGGAGCTCACGCTGGTACGCTGCTGCTACAGGTTTGAGTCCGCAGTGTTTCAGAGAGTTTTTGGGAGACTTCCCTTTGTTGCTCATGCTATCTGCCGGTGTCTGCAGGATGGCATCATCATGTGGGTTTATTCAAGTTTTTGTGTCGGGTATGATTTCACATAGTAAAATAAACAGAAATAATTGGTATCTCCCAGAAGAGAAAATGATAAAAGTTAATTTAAACAATTCAGCTGAATTAGAAAACAGATGTTTAGATTGCATAAAAATCACTTAGGAACAGTTTAATTTCAGTATTGATGTTTATATTACATGGGCTGTATATTTTACTAATTGAGAACCTGCCAGGGTTTTAGAATACACATTTCTTTCATTTTAGCTGCAGTTCAAGGAATAGTACTCTCTGCATGGTGATATGGTTAATATCACATGGGGAGAAGCTCCCAGGCCTGATCATCTTTAGTATTTTAAATCTTCTACATGATAGAGATATACTGGGATCCAAGGGTTCATGTGTCTTGACACAAATAAGATCACATAATAGGAATGATTGGTCAGAACAAACTGACATTAATTGGAAGAAGATCTAAAGTTCTGTGCTTTAAAAAAAAAAGAAAAAAATCACCCCAAACCCTGAAGTGCTCTCTGTGGGAGACCTGCCTAAAAGCAGTTTATGAAGGGGAAAGAAAGATATTGGGATGTTAATGAATCGCAAGCCCACTGTGCACCCACATGAAGTGTGTTGGCCAGCAGTGATAATAAAGCCCTGGCTGCAATTTAAAAGGAATGCTTCTAAAAATCAAGTGGTAACAGCTCAGCTGTGAACTGGGCTGGTCCATGCCTATTGTGTGGATGGGGTTGAGTTGTGCCTGTATCTTGAGTAGGAGATGAGAATGTGACCAAGATTGACTCATCTCATTCTGGGAATAGAAAAAGATTAGGATAAAGTATACTTGTTTAGAATAAAAATAACTTTTAAAAGAAACTTGTTGGTGGCTAAGCTAATAAGAACTGTTTTTGGTGGATAAGGGATCATATGACTACAGGACAAAACCAGGACTGGTGGGTGGAGGATACCAGCTATCTGCTTCATGATGATCTATTTTATAAACCAATATACAATCATCACACCTATTGAAACTGGCAAACTGACATCTGGGAAAGATATTTATTTCTAAGCAAAGACGTCACCTTAAGCAGATTTTTTGGTATTAGTTTATTATGTCTTTGATGTGAAGATTCCAAAACAAATCACACTAAGCTATTTTTTTCCTTTGCACATGATGACATTTATTAGTAGTGAACTGAGTTCACTTTCTGTGGGGTGTATTTTAACTTATGTGCTATATGGTCATAGCTTAATTTATAACAACAAAATCCTCATTCATGTTACGTATGTTTCTTGTTGAACCTTTAACCTTTAAGAGACCTTTACATTTATGGTTTTTGTTGGCATTGAATTTGAATTCTTATACTTTTCAGGAATCTCTGGCACAAATATTGTGCTAAGTAATTAAACATATGAAGTATACCCTAAAAAAAAGTAAAGCACAATGCCCTGACAGGCTATACTTGGATAATACCACTTGCCGTATTAAAAATAGGATATGTAGATGGTGTTCTGTCTATGATCAGTATTAGAATATGATGCGTGTGTTGTTTTCCTGACTTAATTTGAATACTGTGAAAGAGCTTTAAAATTCCTAGATTCTCTTTCTAATTTCTTCCATTTTCTCTCTGTATAAGCCAGTATATTTTCCCCTTGGGAACACAGTCTAATTATTTGTTCATAGGGGTGGTATTTCTTCATCTAAGCTTTGTTGAATGCTGAGAGGCCTGTGTCAAAAAGAGAAAAGGTTCATTCTACCTGCTTGTGAGTTTAGTATTTACATTTATTGAACTTTGGTTCTGCTGACTGTGCACTGAAAAAATCACTTAACTCTTTTTTTGCTCTTATCCACCTAGACGACTTGCCCCTGTGTTGATGTTCTAGCCTCCTAGAACTTAACATGGTTTGAATACTTTCTTGACAGGTTCTGTTTTGTTATTTTCCTCCTGAGGCCTGATGGGTGACACTTTTACCACTGGATTTGTATTTGAGGTGCCAGTCAGGGAAGGAAAGGATATGTAGACTTAGTCTGGTTGTGCTTGACCAATACTGCTTTTAACCTCCTCTTGGTCATCCCTTGGATCATCTCTCGGACCTCCTATATGTGCTTTCCCATTCCTCTTCTCTCTCTGGCTCCTCCACCAGCTCTTCCCTGAGACAGTCCACTCTTGAGTCCAGCTTCCTTAGTGAGCAAGTGTGTAAGGCCTGGAACCTTTAGCTAGCTGTATCTTGCTTTCGTTTGTACTGAGAGGTGTTTTCTCGGTACAAACGAAAGGTTTTGGATTTTGTCATCTTCCTTCTCTTGTAGACCATCATTTGGTTTCAGGAAACAGGAGAGCTTGACCGAGCAACCGTCCCCTGAATCTGGGCTCAGAGGAAGAGACCCTGGACTGAGCTGGTGCTCAGCTTCACTGGCCTTGCTCTGTTCCCTGCCTATGAATTGAGCTTTGTTCTTCCTGCCCCTCCTGACAGTTCAGTTGCCTCCTTTTCTCCTGTCGCTGCCTGGGCTTGTTGTTCCTGTTTCTGTCCAAATCTCATTCTCCACGTTTGACTGTAGTCTAATCATCTGACCTTGACCCCAACCTTGGAGATGGCTAGGTCTGGCTATTCTGAAACTTGGGATAGCACTTTGATCCCTGAGCAGGGGGTGTTCTTTATAGCAGGGACTCTCTTGTTTCTAAGTTTGCTGTGTTTTAGAATGTCTCTGAATAAGTGGGTCCTGTCACAGTGTTTGCTAGGGCAAGATACCGAAGCTTTTTTTTTATAAGTTCATTTTGGGTACGACATATTTTTGTTATTGCCTTTCTATCATGATGTCAAGAATTATAGGCATATGCTAGAGAAAAGCTGGCTGTTAAACAGCCATAAATGAAGTGAAGCCTAATTCATGTATTTACTGTTCAAATATTTGTTTGAATATTTACAATCACTGTTTCTTATTCAGTTCTTATTTCTTGCTTAAGTTTCCTTTATTCTTACAAAAGTCCTGTCTCTGTGTAGTATAAAAGGATGGCTATTTTTGTGTTGCATGAGTTTTGACTCCTGAGAGCATTTAAAGTTATATTCACTTTTTTTCTTCTGAATAAGTAATTCTAACACCTCTATTCTTTTCCTTAGTTTTCAGGTCTCAATTTTAACAATTTCTTCAGTCCACATGTTGCTGACATACAGGACATGCTGGCCCTGTGTATATGGAAATAACCCTAAGGAGGATTATCATTTTAGCAACAGGTTGCTCAATGAGTGAAAGAAATGAGGAACTTTGTTCTTTTGTGTGGTTGGTTAGATCTTTGCGGTCTTTACATTTTAGTTGATTCTTGTACTTGCCTTTTAGATAACTGTATGGTGTCAGGATGCTCAGCTGTCTTTTTTGACTGCATTTTACCTCTCATTTTCCTCTCACATCTGTGGAGCCAATAATTTCTGCTTAGCTGTTTTAAATCCGAAATTTTCAATTCTTCAAGTATTTCAATGAAGTGACACAAATGCATTAAGATAGGTTGGAGAAAATAACCCAGAGCTTATATATTATATTAATAATGTAAATCAATATTATAATTATTATACTAAGATTATATTGCTATTATAGATCATATGATTATGTATTATATACTACCTTTAATTTTCTTTTATATGTTCCACATCATGGAACAAAATAGTTCTCTGTGCTGAGTTGTGTTTCATCTTGTTGCCACTTGAGGGCACATTAGACGCTGGTAAATACTCTGAGGCTGAATTGAAGGTTTGGCAGAAGGGTCCCCATGTTGCTGAGGTACAGGACATGCTGTTAGAGTTTCTAGGTGGGTCATTGGTCATAAGATGATGGCTCCTCTGCCTAGCTAGTGGTGTAGGTCGCCATCATTATAACAGTGGAGTCATTTACATCCCTATTGTGCTTCTGTTTTTTGTAGAAATGAAACCACTTTGGTTTCACATGATTGCTGTAGACTGAGAAGGTGCAACCAGAATTACCATACATGAAAAGGTCTTTTAAGTCTTAGATAGGAACACACGGCTTCCTGTATGACTGTATTTATAACTGTTAAACAAGTTCAACGTAGGATGCTGGAGGATTCAGTTATTTTTTAATGAACTTTTGACCAAAAAGTGAACTTTTTTTTTTTTTTCTAAATTTTTGTAGCAGTGAAGTGACATGTCTATGCCCAGCCTAATTATATGATTTTTCTCCCGACACACCCAGGGATGTTGGGAGAGTCTAATTTCCCATGGTCACCAGTTACCAGTGTGTCTCAGCTTGCCTTTCAAACTGCAGATCTTATTGATAAGTAGAGGGAAACCAAATAAATACTCCAGGAACCAAGGAAAAAGAAAGAAATCATCATGATAGTAGTTTAGAGGTCATTCTTTCAAAAATAAGGTAGTCAAAATGAAAAAGAATAAAGCAGCCCCAGCTCCTTTAGCCCCTGCTGTTTATTCCTGTTGTCTTTTTTGTTTCTTTAAATCTTACTGAATTCATTAGGCAGTTAAACTAAATACTGATGTTTCTTTGCTTGTTAAAATTTTGAGTGTGTTAATATTGTTTTAACAAAAATATTTTTCTACTTTTTTAGTGAATTTTTTCAGGAATTAGAAATTAGGCTTTATTTTCCTAGTAGGAAAGGAGCAGGTTTTGATTTTACCCAAGACTACCTCCCTTGCCTGGGAGTGCCTTCCTGAGCAGTGTACTAGGGAGTGGTGGGAAAGGCTGCCAGTGAGCCCAGGTTTCAGGAAAGATGAAGTATGGGTGCTGTCTTAGCTCATCCTTACAGTTGCTGAGGAATATGCCTGGCTGTGGTTGGTGTCATGCAGGCAGGACTCTGCCTGTGTGTGTCAGCCAAAAGCACTGTTCTCTTTGGTAGACGGCTGCATGGTAGTGCTTCTTAAGTTCCTGACTTAAATATTTAGGTCCTCCAGCCTACACCCACATGACAGACTTGCAGGAATTAATTCTGGAAATGAAGGTTTTATAGGCTTCGTGATTTCTTCCAGCTTGAATCAAGTGATGGATTTTTCTTGGAAGATTAACACCTGTTTATCTCTCTTGTTTCTTATTATTCTAGTTACCTGAAAAACTGATACACAAATACAGCTGGATCAAGCAGTGGAAACTTGGGCTGAAATTTGATGGGAAGAGCGAGGACCTGGTTGAAAAAATTAAAGAATCCCTCACCTTGCTAAGGAAGAAGGTTTGGACAGTGTGATTTCCTGCCTCTGACTAGTGCAGAGCTCTTACTCCTGATTTCCCCAGCATACTAGTTCTTAGTCTTTATTCAGTGGGTTATCAGATGCTCTTGGCTGAGCAGGTTACACTGGTGCACACCTGTAGTCTCAGCTACTCAGAAGGCCAAGGCAGGAGGATTGCTTGAACCTAAGAGCTGGAGCCCAGTCAGGACAGCATAGCAAGACTCTTATCTCAAGCAACCCTTGGCGGATTTATTTATTTTTATTTTAGTTTATAAAGAAAATAATTTTATTTTGGAAAGAAAAGAATTTTATTTTGGCTTAAGACTAGAGGCTGGAATTGGCTAGTTTTTAGATGAAATTTTTTTTTTTTTAAGAACAAAAGACTTTTGGAACAATATATAATAAAAAAGATGCAGAATACATAGAACATGACACCACTCATTTGCATTTTAAAATGCATTTTAAAACCACAATGATACCATATGATATATCCAAGTATACATTACTTTTTTAGCTCTTTATGAATTGAATATATACATTTTAAATTTTGATGTCAACTACTCTTTCAAAAAGGCCCTCTAATTAATTAACATGCCTTTGAAGATGGTGCCCATTTCTACACACACTTTACTCTTTACAAATATTGTTCCAGAAACTTGTCTTTATTGTTGCATGAACAGCTGTCTTTCACTTTTACATTTTATTCATGATAAGAATAAACTAATCCAATGGGGGGAAAAAAAGAATAAAAGATTTTTTATTCTATCAGTATGCTTTTCTACAATTCATATAGTTTGATATATAGGGACATTATTATCTATATAACTACTTAGAATTTTTTTTTAATTTATTCTTTTAGATATACATGACAGAGTATGTTTTGACTTTATACATACATGGAGTATGACTTATTCTCATTAGGATCCTATTCTTGCAGTTGTACTTGGGATGGAGTTTCACTGGTTGTGCATTCATATATGAACATAGGAAAGTTATGTCTGATTCATTCTACTGTCTTTCCTATCCTGTTCTCCTTCCCTTCTCTTCATTCCCCTTTGTTTAACCCAAAGGACTTCTATTCTTCCCTCCTATACCCTTAGTGTGTGTTAGCATCCATATTTCATATAGAACATTTGGTCTTTGGTTTTTTGTCATTGGCTTATTTCACTTAGCATAAAGTCTCCAGTTCCATCCATTTCCTGGCAAATTCCATCATTTCATTCTTGTTTATGGCTGAGTAATATTCCATTGTGTATATATATCTCATTTTCTGTTATATTCATTCATATATACCTCCTTTCATCTGTTGAAGATCACCCAGGTTGGTTCCATAGCTTAGCTATTGTGAATTGAGTTTCTATGAACATTGATGTGGCTCCATCACTGTAATATGCTGATTTTAAGTCTTTTGAATATATACTGAGGAGTGAGATAACTGAGTGAAATGGTGGTTCTATTTCAGATTTTCTAAGGAATCTCCATGCTGCTTTCCGTAGTGGTTGCACCGATTTGCAGTCCCACCAGCAATGTATGATTGGATCTTTTTCCGCATATTCTTGCCAACATTTATTGTTACTTGTATTCTTGATAATTGCCATTCTGACTGGAGTAAGATGGAATCTCAAATTTTTAAGTGAATGCAAACTGTTCCCATGAGGTCTTTGGTAAAATGGAGGAATATCACCATTATCTATTCTTGGTTGAGATGTTGTATGCTAGTGTATCTATAACAATATATTTAACTTTCTTAAAGGTAAACTTTAACAAATGTAATCTTTGTTCTAATTCATATTTATAAGTTTCAGAGATACGATTTAGTTCATATTTCTTATATAGCAATAAAACTAACTCAGGCTTATTAAGTTCTTCCCAGTTATGGTTTAATATTCTATCCCTGTATCTTAAATACTTATTTTGTTTCCAGTGACTTCTCAATAAGTAGATTTAGTAACTTATTGTTTGAAAAGTGTCCTAAGAATTTGTCTGAGACAATTCAGGGAGAACTTGGTCTGTGCTTCCTGGTGTTTTAAACTTTGTGTTTAAAATTCTCCCTGTGATTTTGCTCTCTCCTCTGAGTTAGATGTCCTGCTTGTACATGGGCCTGCATTGACTTCTCAGTTGCTTGCTTTGAGCAACTTGGAGTTCCCTTCCTAGGTACAGTGAGCTTAGGGCCCATCAGTTGTTCCAGGCTTTGTTGGTGGAAGAGGGGTCAGATAAAGGGAAGTTAGACAAGAGGTCCTTCCTAGCATCACCTCAGGTGGTGATCTGTTCACTCAAATTTAGTCTCTCTGCCCTTGTTCAACTTTGAAATCCCTGAGGGACACCCTATTTCTTCCTTTGCACCTAGTCCTTTAGCAGCAAGCCTGATACATAATAGACATTTGGTTAATGCTTTGTTGATGAATAAACTGGGGCCCTGACTTTCTCAAACTTAGTTTTTAATACAAAGATAAGAAATGTTTACTGGAAAGTACAGGGTCAAAGGAAGTTTCATCTTCCACTGTAAAGAAGTGGAAGAGAGAAAGGAAGAGGGGGTCTGTTCTCATTACCTGTTGGAGTGGAACTTAGGATTTTGAGGGACTGGATACCTGTGCCTTCTCACTCCTGGGTCAGTGGAAGGTTGAGGGCAGGGCTGTGGCCCTGTGTGAGTGAGTGGGAGAGTGCTTAGCAGAGCTATAGGTAATAAGAAGGATCTGGTAAAATGCTATTTTTGCTTTATTGGGTATGACTACTATAATTAAAGTCTCATATTTGGGACTGTTTAAGTGAGGCCAGTTTGTAATCACATTAAACTTATTCATTAATTATCTCAGCCAGTATTACTAACTGTCCTCTGTGCCATGATGTATACTTAAGTTTCACATGTTGTTTTATTGCTACAATCATGACATTGGTGTTGTTATGATCAGCCTTGTTTTATAGATGAAGAAACCAAGGCCCAGAGTTTGGTTAAACACTCTGCAAAAGCCATCAGTTGCTTGGTGGTGAGGCCTTGTTTCCATCCTGACTTTCTGACTCTAGATCCATGCTCTGGACTGTGAACTTGGTCTACTTTTAGAAAATACGAAATGTGGGCAACATGTTCTAGCTTTTAGCCTAAATATTTGGGGGGTTCTGTGTAGTCATTATCATTAAAAATTATTGAATTTAAAATCTCTGATGGCTTTTGAAAGGTACACAAATTATTGATTATTCATAAGGACTGTTATTTATATTGTCATCTCTTTACTCATTCACTGTAACTTAAAAGCACATATATTTATAGGGTTTTCTTGTTCACTTAAGAAGTCTACCTATACTAACTGAATATTTGATACTCTGCTTTATTCTTAATTGGGAGTCAGAATGGATTTATTTATATGAAGCTCATGTATATTTTTAATAGGTTAGAGGGTAAGTTTAATAAGCTAAAGATCCCACAGTGTTCTTTGCCATCTTCCATTTTAGATGGTAGGTTTTTTTTCTGAGTGGTCACTGTTTGTGAAAACCCCTCAAAGGGTAGTTTTAGCTCCCTACTACATACAGCTCCACACACAGGCCTCACATAAACACGTTAGCTTTTTCATTAGTATCTCTGCCTGCCTAGCTCAGTCTCATCCCCTGGGAAGTTAGAGGAGTCAGAAGTTCATACCGTGGCCTAGGGCTTCTCCTTATCACATTGTGCTTGTTTTAGATTAATGGGGGAAAGGCTGAACTAGGAGTTGCGTCATCTTAAGAGTACCATTGATTGATCTGAAACTTAAAAACATTGTGGCTACATTAGGATGATTTATAGTCCCTACTTTTGAACATAATTCTGAGTTCATGTATGGAAGTATACCAGGGATTTTTAGAACAAAAATTCTAACTATTACATAACTTCCTTATTGTAGTGGGCAAGCCTGGCTGAAATGAGAACTGCTGAAGCAAGGCAAATGGCTTGTGATGAACTGTTCACAAATGAAGAAGAGGAATACTGCCTCTATGAAGCTGTAAAATTTCTAATGCTAAACAGAGCCATTGAACTATATGATGATAAAGAGAAGGGAAAGGAAGTACCATTTTTCTCTGTGCTCCTGTTTGCTCGGGACACATCGAATGACCCTGGACAGCTACTGAGGAACCATTTAAACCAGGTGGGACACACTGGTGGCCTTGAACAGGTGAGTTGTGTCTTTGGAGTGCATTACCTCAAAACACAGCAGTGTTAACTGTCAAACATCTCACAGTGTTTGTAGGTCAGGAATTCAAGAGCAGCTTAGGTGGTTGTGGCTGAGGGTCACATAAGATTTAATCATGTTATTTGGGGCTACAGTCTTCCTTGGGGTTGAAGGATCTACTTCCATGGCCTATTGACATGGCTCTTGACAGAGGTCCTTAGTTCCTTACAGTTAATAGGAGGGCATGGTTCCTTACCATAGGGCTTCTTGGGTGTCCTCATGACATGGCAGCTGACTTTTCTCAGAGTGGTCCATGTAGAGAGCAGGGAAGTCGCACACAGGCACTTATACCATATTCTGTTTGTTAGAAGCCAGTCACTAAACTTGAAAGCTCTACCCTTTCAAGTGAGGTATGTCGAAGATGTGTAGTCCTGTTTTATAATCATTAACAATATTATCCTGGACTTTCTTCTGGGGGTGATGGATATAATTAGTACCCTTGGCTCTGGAAGGGTAGACATAAATGAAGCATGTGGAGGAGCCATCTGAAGGTCTTGTTTAATCTTGGCAGCTCAGGCTCTTGGATCTTATATAGATGCCCATAACAATCTTGTTCTTAAAGCAATAGTTGAGTCACCACACCTTGAATAGCCAACCCTTGAGGCTACCCCATTCTCCTTACACGGCAGACTCTCGTACCACTTTTTCCCAAAAGGCCCGAGTGCCAGGACAGATATTGCAAGGAGTAGAGAGCTGAGTTGAGTTCCCACTGAGTCATCCTGGTGGGTGGAAATCTGTTCCATTGTTTTTCTCAGTGTGTCACTGCTGGGCCAGGCAGGATGATTAATATAAAAAAATTATCTGTATGCATAATGTGGGTTGCTCACATCTCCTGAACCATTGCTAATACTTTGTAATAAAAAGCATAGGAGAGTGTGGTTTGTATGTTAGACTGAAGTTAGTCCTTTATGAGATCCTACAAGGTCTGCTACAGTAGTGTCCATTCTTCTTTTAATAGCAGCTTTCTTGAAATGTAATTTACATACCAACAAGTTCACCCTTTTAAAGTTTTGAAACTACCACTTGCAGTCTCATTTTAGACCAATTTACCACCCCCAAAAGACACCTCAACCCCATTAGCAGTTACTCTCCCTTCCGGGTAGCCCTGGGAAACAAAGCTACTTTCTGTCTCTAGTTTGCCTATTCTGGGCATTTCATATAAATGGAGTCATATACTGTGTGGTATTTTGTGACTGGCTTCCTTTGTTTAGCATAATGTTTTTAAGATTCCTCCACATACTGTTGCATGGATCAGTACTTCATTCCTTTTTATTGAAAAGCAACATCTCATTGTATGAAAGTATTGTATTTATTCATTTGTTAGTTTGACAGGTATTCGGGTTGCCTCCACCTTCTAGCTACTAGGAATAATCCTGCGGTGGACATTCAGGGATGATTTTTTGTGTGGACACATGTTCTCTTGGTTGTATGCCTAGGAGTAGAATTGCTATGGAAGATGRTGATCCTTTGTTGAACATTTTGAGGAATAGCCATACTGCATTTTAAAATAGTTTGTGCCAATTTACACTCCCACCAGCCATGAATTAGTGTCCCATTTCTCCACATCTTTACCAGCATTTTTACTATCTTTTTTAAAAAATTGGGATGAAGTTCACATAACATAAATAATCATTTAAAGTATGCAACTCACTGACATTTAGTACATTTATGGTGCTATGGGATCAGCAGCTCTATGAAGTCCAAAATATTTTCCTCACCCCCAAAGAAAACCCTGTATTCTTTAAGGAGTCACTCCCCATTGTCATATGGCTTTTTAAAATATTTTTTTATTACTTTTTAAGTTGTAGGTGAACACATACCTTTATTTATTTTATATTTTGTGATGCTGAGGATCAAACCTCTCACATGCTAGGCAAGTGCTCCACCACTGAGCTACAACCCAAGCCCCTGGCTTTTTTATTATAGCCATTCTAGTGGGTGTGAAGTGGTATCTCATTGTGGTTTTGATTTACTTTTCTCTAATTACGTAGGATGTTGAACATCTTTTCATGTGCTAATTTGGCCACTTGCGTGTCTTCTTTGGAGACATGTCTTTGCAATCCTTTGCCCAGTATTTTTTAAAATATATTATTATGAAATATTCACCTTTATTTATTTATTTTTTTTTGAGAGAGTGGGAGAGAGAGAGAGAGAGAGAGAATTTTTTTAATATTTATTTTTCAGTTCTCGGCAGACACAACATCTTTCTTTGTATGTAGTGCTGAGGATCGAACCCAGGCTGCACGCATGCTAGGCGAGCGCGCCACCACTTGAGCCACATCCCCAGCCCTTTGCCCAGTATTTAAGCTAGAGATATATATGTTTTTTAATATCTTTGTTTTATTTATTTATTTATTTATTATTTTTTATGTGGTGTTGAGGATTGAACCCAGTGCCTCTCACACGTGAGGCAAGCGCTTAACCACTGAGCTACAACCCCAGCCTCTGGTTATATTTTTTTAATTATTGAGTTGTAAGTATTCTTTATATATTCTGGGTATGGGTACCTTACCAAATGTATGCTCCATTCTTGACTATCTCTTTTTTTTTTTTTTTTTAAATAAGAATTGGGACTGGGTCCAAAGGAGAGGAGGAAAAAGGTTGCAGTGTAAGCCACTGCTGTGTGTGTGGTCAGGGTAATAGATGGAACATGGTGTAGACCCCATCTTTTGGTGTGGCTTCCTTAAGAATCCCATTTGCTCCTTCTCCACAGGTTGAAATGTTCCTTCTTGCCTATGCTGTGCGCCATACCATCCAGGTGTACCGGCTCTCCAAGTACAACACTGAAGAGTTCATTACAGTCTATCCCACTGACCCACCCAAGGACTGGCCGGTGGTGACCCTCATCGCTGAGGATGATCGGCACTATAATATCCCTGTCAGAGTATGTGAGGAGACAAGTCTGTGAGAGACTCACCTGCCTGGACAGTCTGAGGACATGGCAAAAGTGCACAGGCAGCTCCTCAGCTTGGGCTCAGGCCTCTGCTGGTCTCTAAGAACAGTCTGTGAGAACTCTTGGGCCCCTGGGAGCCAAGTTGGACTGGGGTGTTCTGAAGACTAACTTTTCATAATAAGAACAACTGTTTTCCCTTATCTGGGACCCAATGTGTTTCATTGGGAYCTTCAGAGCATACCTTTGGAAAGTGCATACTGCATTTCCGTAAAGCAAATACTTTGTTTTAGAGGAAACTCATTTTGAAGAAAATGTTCATGTCTCAAGTCAAAATTCTCTCTACTGGTAAACTGGCTTTTAAGTTTTAAGATGGTAATTTTTCTTTGGTGGAAATGGGTCTCTGTAGTGATCATTCTATGCAGTCTGCTTAAGTGGTACAATTCTGGGAGATTTGTTAATGGCACAGTCATCATCCTCTGATATTCTCATCTTATGGAGGGATGAGCAGTGATTCAGACTTACATATTAAGTAATGCTATTTTAAGCAGATGGTCTCATAGAAGATGAAGAATTGGGCCCCAGAGTGGGTTGTTTGGAGGCTTTTTTCAAGTTTGGAGGAGATAGAGTGGAATCTAGTGATTGTTACAGGTGTCTACTGTCCCCAATGTTCCAGAGTCTGGGACATGGTACAGGTCCCTGTTAGCATGGATGAATGTTTCTTGTAGTTGTACTCCAGTGTCAGGGGCTGTTAATTATTCTAAAGTTCCAAAGAGTCACAGTTTTATAGTTAAAACAGAGTTTATATCCACCCATGTGTTTAGAGGAGGAATCTAAGGCCATATTATTTCAGTCACTGCTCAGAGTTCAGAGGTGGGGACAAGCTGGGCTCCTGATCTTCTCTTGCCCTTTTTATGCTGTGTTTAAGGTAGCATCATTGCCAGATCCATGTAATGGGCTGATATCCTGTCTGCTGGCAGGGGATAAATAACAGCAACCAACCTGAGATTTTTCCTGAGCAAGCTAAAGCAACAGTGTGCCGAAGGGTGGCTGAGCCGCATGTGTCCTTGCTTTGGCTTGGGCAGCCTGAGAAAAGCAGTGATGACCTGCTGGGCACAGGCGAGGTGTTTTACTGGAGCTGCTAAAGGGGACAGTGCTGCTGAGCTGGTCTGCAAGGGATGTGCACTGTGGTCATTGTTCATGTGAACCAGACACATCACTCTTCAGTATTCTGTTGGCGGCACCTGAATTGGCTCAACATTTGTGGAGTTGATGTTTCCCTCAAGTACTGAGCTTATTTTATAATAATTAAAATCTATTTGATCTAATTTAATATGATTAATAAGTTTTCTACACTTTTTGAAAATCTGTGTCTGTTAATAAAAAATTAAGTCTTAGTTAAGAAAGCTCAGCCTGCACAAAGTATTCAGACTGTTACATTAGTACTTTTCCTAGTACCTACTTGGTGATATTCACCACATTTTACTAGACATGTATCAAGTAGCATTTTGAATCAGATTCTATAAATGTATGTGAATACTTTAGAGAGGATTTTTGCTTTTCACAGTGAAATACATTGGTATCTTAAATAAGGAGGTACCTAGAAGCCCAATTAAAGTAATAATAATGACTTCTTGGCTTTGACAAGTTTAGTATTTGTAACTATATGATAGGAAATGTTTACCATTCATTTATGAGCATTCTTTTAGAGCACAGCTTGAAATATTTAGATTATACTTGGCAATAGGGATTTGTGCCCTTGGGATATATTGAATCTGACCATTGGTTCATATACATTATTGAATGTGAATAATAGGATTTTAAAACTCATGATTAATGCATTTTGAAAATGTTCTAATCTTAGTGAACTTGAACTGGACTTCTGGGCAATTTGCTTACATTTTAAATTTAAGTCTACAGAAATTGTAGTTTTAGCCACCACATTGGTAAAAATTTGAAAGGGGGTGTTTATTTTATGTTGCTTATTGTTCAAAGACCTTCTCACACTGTGCTATCAGACTGTCATCCAGGTTTAGCAGAATAACATCAGAAAAGAAAGCTTCCAAAGAAATAGTACTTAATGAAATAGAAATGATTAGTTCATTTAAAAATTCTTTTTTGTTGTTGTTGCAGTATTCAATTTTAGTTGCTCAGAGTCTTAATTTCATTTTTGGTCTTGAGCTGGTGAGTGACATCAATAGTATAGAAACTGAATTAAGATAAAAATGGATTCAAGAGAATAATCTACTTAGAGGGATCTTTAAAATGGTATGGTGTTCTAGAAGGGGGCAAGGTAGTGAGAACTACATTATGCTTACTTTCTAAGAGTTTATATTGCAAGAGTTCAGAAGTTTAGAGATATTGGCAGAACTTAAACCTTTGAGCTCCTTTAAGGCACATTTAAACCTAAAAGCATTTCTCTGTGTCGTGTCCCATGGAATGGACATTGCTTTTCCAGAACATTTTCAGATTCTCCTCCTCGCCTGAACTCCTGGATGTTCAGCATCCACTCTGCACTAGGATCAGTGATGGCAGTATCAGGGAACAGGCAGCAGCTATGGTCTCCAGCTTGTGATATGGGAATATGTGGGGTTTGGTCTGCAGTATTACCATTCCTTCTCTCTAGAATATCGCATATGAAAATGTTTTAAGTGCAAAGAGCAGGATTAATCCTGTTTTCTTTATATAGCCACTTACACTTTTATTACACTATAATATATTCTCTTAATGTCTACTAAGATGTTTTCCTTGGTTAAGGTGAGCAAATATTGGTTTTGAATCCTTTTGTTCTACTCCCCTCTAGTTTTAGAGTTTATCAGGTAAAATCTCAGGCCAAATGAATTGATAACTCCTCTTTTGGAAGAAGCATTTGTAGATTTTTATGGGCTTCATCTTTTTTTCCCCTCCTCCTTCCTTTGGTTAGAGGCTCTGTGTTGTTCTTCCTGTCCTTTCCCTCATCCCAAGGTGCTGTTCTAAGAGTTAGTAGTTTACTTTTATGAAGACTTTCCAGTTAATGACTGAAGTGCTGTGTCATCTTTAATGATATAGTGCCCCTGCCATCTGAACATATACATAGGACTTACAGAGCTGGGTCTTCTTTTGATATTAAAACATGGCTTGGTCATTTTTTAATGTGTTTTTCTTAAGCAGTACTTATAGGTTCTCCCCTTTGAAGACCAGAAAATATTTTCAGAAGCATAAACCAGGGGGGAATCACTTCTGGTATGCACAAAAATGCCTTAATTTTAAGATCTGTGACTGCTAGAAAAATAACTAGAAAGCCTTCACTGCATGTGAATCTGAAATGTGGGTGAAACATATAAAATCCCCAAATAGCAAGGCAGGGTAAAATATCAAGTAATTTAAAAATGGCCTAAGGAGAGACTGGGGTTGTGGCTCAGTGCTTGCCTAGCACATGTGAAACTCTGGGTTCCATTCTCAGCAGCACATAAAAATAAATAAATAAAGTTTTTTTTTTTTTTTTTTAAATGAATGCTATAAAAAATATGGCCTAAGGAACTATGAAGAGAAGTGAGGATGAGGAACTGATTTTAGAATAACCTTTAAAGTGTCATAATAACAGAGCAGTATACACAGAAGGTAAGATCTTCTGTGCTTAGTTTTTTTTTTCTTTTTAATTGGTTCTTTTTAGTTGTGCTTAGGTTTTTTAAAAAAAATATTTTTAGTTGTAAGTGGATACGATATCTTTATTTTATTTCTATATAGTGCTGAGAATCGAACCCAGTGCCTTACATGTGCCAGGCAAGCACTCTACCACTGAGCCACACCCCAGCCCTGTGTTTAGGTTTTAAAAAGAGAAGAATCTGAATGAATGGGAGGACTTTTATGTGCATGGATTCCCCAAATTCATATTTCTAAAATGTAAATCCTCTATTTAAGAGAAGTATAGTCTTTAATGCATAGCTTCTTTGGGAAACATTGTGATCTCTCCTAGGGCGATGGAGAGACCAGGGAGCCCATACTGAGCTGTGCAGTGGTTTAGTGAGGTTGTGGGGAAGGACGTAGGCAACTGATTTTATAATATTGATTTAATGCTCTTGTAATTCAGTTTGTAATCTAGAGCCATGAAAAGCACCAAATTCAATTGGCAGATGGTTTGGCCATCTGCTACCCTGGGCTTTTCCTGGAGGTAGTATCCGTAGGAGCCAGGTGGGTTTGGCCATTACCAGAAGAGGTATGTGGGTACCTTTTTTGTGTGTGTACCCATGCTGGCCTACAGTCACTTCATTCCTTTCTTTAGGTGGGTGGTAGCCCCATAGCTTGGGACCCAGTAGTATTCTGAGAGGGTGGATGTGAGCTGTCCCATGTGATTCTGTATTTTTTTTCTAAACAATGAATTGAAATTTATAATTGGGAATGGTAAAATGAATTGGTATGAATATTGAAGATATGGCGGCCATTAAGTCTGGAAACATGTTAGTCATACTGAAACATCATATCAGTAGACCATTTATTATGTCTCTCTTCCCAGGCCTCCTTATAGCATTTTGAATGCCCAGAGGCTTCAGTAGCATTAATGGAGGAGGACACTGATTGGAGTTTAATTTCAGTTAAGCCCATTGATTTCTTAGGTGTAAGTTTGGGTCAGGAATGAAATTGCCAAATATGGGTCAATACAAAGAAAGAACACTGGATTCAAAATATCCAGTCTTGGTAATTATATTCCTAGTAACCAAGGGTGCTTGAGCTTAATTATAACTTCAAAATAATTTTTTATACTCAGTTTTAGGAACTTTCACTTATATATTGAAAAATGCCTTGATTTGTATTCACATGAGTGGTGCTAAAAATACAGTACCTTTTAGAAGAACCTCAGGAATCCATAGTGATGGTGATGACTTGGGAGTATTTCAGTGTGGGAACACAACCAGAATTAATGTATTTAGGGATATCTCTTCTCATTTTTATTGTGTTTGTAATACTCTTTTGGTGTTGTTACCTTGCTTTTGGCAGTTTCTAACTTTCTATATTATGGATTTGAGGCGGATAACAGCCCAATGTTGTAACTTCTGCCAGAGTTGATGGTGTTTTTCTTCCATGGGAGAGTCTGCCGTGAAGGGAGAGCACTCGTGGGAACCCAACCCTGCTAGCCCCTGGCTTGTTTAACATCATCTCCTCTGTTTACACTATAAGATGTTTGAACTTGCCAAAAATTTCTCCTGTTTTGAAAAACATGCCCCTGAGGTTCTGGAGAGTTTGAGGCCCTACTTCCCATTGGCAAACTCATCCAGATTCCTGGCTCATAGGGCAAGAGTTTCCTGTCACCTGTTGAGTCTCTCGTCTTCACTGTAGGGGCCACTCCTACACTTGGATTTTGCTGTTGATCC